TCTTATACTCCCCACTATTTCTCATTAACCACATATTAGTATTCCGACATCTTTAGTGGCCTGTGCTTGGGGTTCTGATAGTCCTCAGCTGCAGCCACTAAGAGCACCAACTGTGCATATTCACTATGTTCCCTTTTACAAGGGCCCTGCCACCTCTGCCACATCTGCCATACACACACACACACACACACACACACACACACACACACCACACACACCCCGGTCTGTTCGTCTGTTCCTCCCTTTTCTCTCTCCCGTTGCTACTGTCCCCAAAGATCAGTCTCCCCCCATCCTCTTTCCCTTTATACAATCCTTTTCCCTTAATTAGAAAAAAAACTCCACTTGAACTCTCATGTGGTGTCTTTCTCGCTCATCCCTTTTTTAAAATTACAACACTACACCCTTTAAAGTTAACACTTTTACTAGGTCACAGGCAAAATGGATATATTATGACTTACAAACAGTAGCTGTAACCAACTATGTCAACAATAACACAGCACTCCGCAATTCTCAAGAGCTTTTAATACAGCTTCTTAATTGCATAGTATATGTATCTTCATCTAATTAAGAGAATGAACTCCCTTAGGGACCCAAGAGGAGAAGGTAAGCCCTTTTTAAATTAATGAAAGGACAATGAAATTAACTGAAAAGATTGATAGCCCACAGGCCAAACAAAATCAAAACAGACACATTTATTATACTGCAGATTAAGAACCCTGGAATTAGAAACATCTGGAAATTGGGAAATTCTACACAGAAACCAGATTTCTCACTTTCCTTAGGAAGGAAAAAATGGAATGTCCAATATGTAGCCTAAGAGGAAAAAACATAACCAGAACACATTAGAGACGCAGCCACTGGTTCGGTACCTCCATCTGTGCTTTACTCATTATGTTACCTGTCTGGTAGCTTCAGGAATTCATGTTTCCAGCTATAGATAAGGACCCATGAGTCTCTGATAAGCTTTCTTACTCACATTTTGACTTGTTTTTCTCTACAGACACCAAGTTTTTCTGCTGCTAAACAGATTTATACCTCACTAATCCAAACCTTGACAAAAAGCACCTAAAGTAAGTGTCTGGTAGTAAAAACAGAAAGTAGAGTTTAAATAAATTACTGCCACTTGTTTACAATCATGTTTTGATTCTCAGGTTTAAAAAAAAAAAAATTGGGTTTTTTTGACTGGGCAGTGGTATCACATGCCTTTAATCCCAGCACTCAGGAGGCAGAGGCTAGGGCACCCAGGGCTAGAGAGAAAGCCTGTCTCAAAGGAGAAAAGGGGGGGTTGTTTTGGAAGGGGGAGTGGGGTGGCTGGAGTTCAAAGCTTTATGCTTCCTACAAATTACCTACCTGAGCTATATCCCCAGATTTTATAAATCCAATTTCAAAATATACTTCTAGGCTGGAGAGATGGAGAGATGGCTCAGCAGGTAAGAACAGTGGCTGCTCTTCTCGAAGATCTAGCTTCAGTTCCCAGAACCCACATGGTGGCCCACAACCATCTATAACTCTAGATCAAGAGGATCTGATACCCTCTTCTGGTCTCCATATGCATCAGGAAGCCATGTAGTGTACAGACACACAAAGACAAAACACTAATACACACACAAAATAGTTCTTATAAAACAAAAAACGACGGGCACTGGTGGTACACACCTTTAGTATCGGCACTTGGGAGGCAGAGGCAGGCAGATCTCTGTGAGGCCAGCCTGGTCTGTAGAGCGAGTGCCAGGATAGGCTCCAAATTTGTATTTCTCCCACTGAAATACTAGTAAAGCAGATTTACTCAAAAAGCATGCTGTTAAAAATCATTTTTCATACTTGTAAGCCAGTTAAGAGGAATTTTAAATCTACAAGTTAAACTATGTAGTTTTTTTGCAAAATTATGGGCTATATATAACTGGTTAAGAACAAGTGCTAAAATTCTCAAATTACCAAGTCTGGTATTGAGTTTTGATTCTACCATTCTCTATCTGAAAATGTCTGGAAAATTACTGAATTTCTTTTTTCTTTTTTTTTTTTTTTTTTTTTGAGATGGGAGGTTGGGGTAGGGTTTCTCTGTGGCTTTGGAGGCTGTCCTGGAACTAGCTCTTGTAGAGCAGGCTAGTCTTGAACTCACAGAGATCTGCCTGCCTCTGCCTCCCAAGTGCCAGGACTAAAGGCATAAGCCACCACCGCCCGGCATTACTTAATTTCTTTAAGCCTGTTTTCTTATATTTACAATTGGGCAAGAGTATCTATTTAATAAGGCTGCTGTGTGACTTAAAGATACAATGGTATAAAAGCACTTAGAATGATGTCTGGCATATAGAAAATTGAAAATGCAGCTATCATTTGAATATTTATATACAGGAAAAAAGTAATAAAAACACAGGCTATCTAAACAAAAATAATTTCTATACTACTGCTATCAATAAAGCACATAAAAAACACACAAAAAGATTCACTTGATAGGGGAAAGAGAACTGAAGCAATACAATAACATCAACTAGATAAAGAACAAGAGAAATAAAAAAAAACAAAAAAGAAATCATGTTCACAGACATCAGGATGAAAAGGAATATGAAAGGAAGGTAGAATGGAAGGCTGAGAGCAGGAATCAACCATACTTTAAGCTGCATTAACTGAAGTTACTAAATACAAATGCTGCTGTGGCTTAAAAGAGAAAAACTACAGCGGGGCACAATCCTTCCCCTCAAGACATCTGCCTATCTTCCACAACACATGGCATATCATAGGTGCATAGTATATAAAAAAGATCCCTAAAAAATTATGAGAATGTAAAAAGGTAGTAAAGCAAGAACATTTATAAGACAGTGAAGAATAACTATCATCTAATATAAACCTAAAATCCTATAAATCATTTTCTGTGCAGATACACACGCACACACAAACACACACAAGCACACACACACACCATGTAGCACACAACTGGGTAATTCCCATGTAAAACATAAATATGAATAAACGTAAGCAAAAGTAAAAGAAAGCAAATTGGCTTACTTGTTATATAACATATATTCACTAGGTAACTAAAGTGGAAGTGTATCAAAAGGCTCCTTAAGGAAGTGGTTAATTCCAGAACTGGCACAAGGAAGGTACAATGACTCTGGAAACATAAGAATAAAACCATCCTGTAAGCATTCCCAACGGCCAAAGCTTCAATGATTAGGCAGTCAATGAGGATTAGGGATACAGAGCTCAGTAATAGAGCTTTGCCAAATTAGAAACATTTGAGACACTAGGCTCAAACAAACAAGTAAAAATTCCATATACAGTTTTTTGCTGGGCATACTGGCAGACACCTATAATCACAGCATGTGGAGGCTGAAAAAGAAGGATCTCAAGTTCAAAGCCAGCTTTCACTACATAGTAATCAAAGTGAGCTGGAAGTCAGCCCAGATTACACAGTGAGACCCTGTCTTAAGATAGTTCACCACAAACAAAAATAAAAAAGGATGATGCTAGTGCAAAGCATACCCACAAGCACTTCCCATCATGAATAAATGACTGAACAAATGAGAAAAACCTCTCTTTAATGTGTATTGTATGTGTCTGCCCGTATGTATGTGCATATAAGTACAGGTTTCCATGGAGACCAGGAGAGGGCGTTGGATTTCTTGGAGCTTGAATTACAGGTGGTTGCTGAGATACAAACTCCAACCCTCTATAAGAACCACAGCACTCTCTTAACAAGACCAGGAAAAGCCAGCAAGCTTTTTGTTACTGTTATTGTTTGTTTGTCTTTTGGGATAGGGTATCTCCACATAGCCCTGACTGTCCTGGAACTCACTATGTGACTATGCATGCTGGCCTCACACTCAGAAACATGCCTGCCTTCACTGAAGAAAACTAATAATAATAGTCTTCATTTTACAGGAAAAATAAAAATCACCATTAGAAAACAGTAATGAGCAGGCAGTGGTGGCACACACCGTTAGTCCCAGCACTCGGGAGGCAGAGGCAGGAGGATCTCTGTGAGTTCGAGGCCCGCCTGGTCTACAAAGCTACAGAGAAACCCTGTCAGGGGTAGGGGGAGGGAATAGCAATGAATGCTAAAATTATTGGGTAAAGTTTAAAAAGAAATAGTGTGTTCATGTGCCCTCAAAATATCTCCTCAAAACTTTGTGTATACTCGACAATTAGCAGTAGCCTTACAGTGGAGAACCCAGAGATATCACATTAACTAAGAACTATGGCTGTGCGGACATTTTATGCCCTGTGATAAGCAGAGGGGTGTGTCACCTCTTTGTTATTCTGTCTCAAATGCACTACTTCTATCATGAGAAAATACCACCAAATCAAGGAAAACTCCACATTTGATAAATATTCTTCAAAAGTGTCTTATGTCACAAAAGCAAGAGTATGGGACACTCACAAATTAGAGGAGAACCGAGAAAAATGACAACTGAACTGCAATGTGGGATCCTGAAATATACAGGACACTGAAGAAAAATTGATGAAATCTGGAAAGAGCCTATTATCTGGTCAATACAAATTTTTGGTTTTGATCATACTATAGCTCTGTTTTCTACCACGGCATTACTGTCAACTCCATTTGCCCACTAGGTATCACTTTCTGCTTACTGCTGCATCCATGCTACATTAATCCCATGACATAATAAAGTTCTAACACACTACTTCCAAAAATAAGTCAATCACTAACTTTACAAATTCCCAGGGCCAGCAAGATGGTTCAATGGGTAATGACAGTTGCTGACAACACTTCATGACCTGAGTTTGATCTCTAGCAACCATATAGTAGAAAGAGAAAACCAACTCCCACAAGCTATCCGTTGATCCCCATTTGTGCATTGTGGCACAGGTACACACACACATCATCAATCATCAAACAATCGAATTAAACATTTTTTTCCATTGCTGGCATCCTAAAAATGATTAAATCAGAATTTAATCTTTAATTTTACAAAGCTTTACTTTCAGTAGCAGTTAACACTATTATCACTGCACAAAATCTATAATTTAAAAAAAATACTTACCTTCCAACCACTGCCAGCCTCTCTATAATATGGGAAGTTATCACAAATCCACTGGTAAATCTCACTTAAAGTCATTTTCTTTTTGGGTGAGCTATTAATTGCAAACGTGATGAGGCTGGCGTAACTGTACGGAGGTTTTCCATCTTTGTGCTGTTGGACTTCTTCCTGGTCCAGCGTTGTGTTTGGGTCAAGGAGTGCGTTCTTCTTAGAAATTGCCGTTCCATGTGCATTTTGTGTAGCATCAGATTTTTGGATGGCTGCTCTCATGGTGAGCTGTGGTAACCAGTCCATAGATGTTAGGCTGCTCTCCAGTTCAGATGTCATCCTGAAGGTAAATAGACTCCTCAGTGAGTATCAAGGAAACAACCCCTGCCTCTCAAAATCATCCAATATTCACAAATCTAGGAGTCCCAAAGTGAGGGGAAGCCTGAGTTAAATCTGGAGAGAAAAGACTGAATTATATTAATGACCAAACTAAACATTTAAGGGATCAACATTTCCTATTTTTTTTTTGCTTATTTTTTCACTCCAAATCATAAAGGGTTTAAAATACAAAATAATAAATACACTGACTACTAATGTCAATCTTTACTG